AAAATGTATCCCTGAGATTGGAGCCTCTTTAACTGCTGAACACAATCCATCACCTCTGATGAGACACAGTAGGGGGTTTGGATAGCCCCCCAAAGGGGTCTGAATTCCCCCACAGGGCAACAGGAAAAGCCACACTGGAGGCTCATGACCTCCTCCATTGAAAAACAAACTAAGCAAACAAGCAGAACAGGAACAGAATCATAGCTATGGAGATCATTTGTAGAGTTATCAGTTGGGAGCAGGAAAGGAGAGAATGGGCAGAAAGTTGCAGGGATTAAGAAGTACAAATTAGAACATACAAAATAGACAGGAATGTTAAGAACAGTATAGGAAACGGTGTAGTCAAAGAACTTATATGCATGAGCCATGGACATGAACTAAGGGAGGGGATTGCTGGAGAGAAGTGAGGGTACCAGGTGAAGGGGAGCAAATGGGTGGAAACTGAGACAACTGTAATAGAAAAATGAACAAAATAGCCCTGACTGGTGTGGCTTAATGGATTGAGTGTCAGCCTGTGAACCAAAGAGTCACTGGTTTGATTCCTAGCCAGGGAACATGCCTGGGTTGCAGGCCACGTCCCCAGTAGGGGGAGCACGAAAGGCAACTACACACTGATGTTTCTCTCCCTCTCTTTCTCCCTCCCTTCCTCTCTCTAAAATAAATAAATAAAATCTTTCTTAAAAAGAAAAGAAAAATGAATAAAATATATTTTAAAATTTTAAAGTTTTTAAAGAGTCTTACAAAACACCAGAAATATAGAAATTGTGCCATGCCCTGTCAAAGTAACTTTTATTTTCTAAATAGCCTGTGACTTTTAACTACTTGCTTACTTCAGTAATTTTTCACATTGATACAAAGGCGATTTAAATTGAAATCTCTAAGAAGCATAAAGTTGGAACTTCTGGCCAAGATGGAAATATAGGTACATACATTTTGCCTCCTCAAACATCCAAAAGAAGGACAACAACAAATTTAAAAACAAAAAATAACCACAAGTGCCAGGAAATCAAACTATATGGAAGTCCGATGACCAAGGAGTTAAAGAAGAAACACTCATTTAGACTGGTAGGAGGGGTGGAGATGGGCAGATGGGCAGAGAGGATGCATGGCAAGGCAGCTGCTGCAGGACTGGGTGGGGGAGGCGGCGACTGGCAGAGCAGGCGGTCCCACATTTGCGTGTGGATAGACCAGGAGGAACAACTGGGGAGCAAGACAGTCTGCCCAACTCAGGGTTCCAGCATGGGGAAATAAAGCCTCAAAATTTCTGAGTGTAAAAAAACCTGTGGGGCGGGGGGACTTCCAGCCAAGATGGAGTCATACATAGACACATTGTGCCTCCTTACACAACCAAAATAAAGTCAGCAACAATTTAGAAACAAGATAACAACCAGACCTGACAGAAAATTGAACTGTATGAAGTTGGACAACCAAGGAGTTAAAATACACATGAATACAAATTCATCCCATACCGGTAGGAAGGGCAGAGTTGGGCAGAGAGGGGTAGTGGCACAAAAAGTGGTGGCACTGGGTATGTAAGGCATCCTGAGCGCAAGACCACAGCAGGCGGACCCTGGGTGCAAAGGCAGCTGGCAGACCCAGCGAAGCAGCGACTATGAAGCAAGGCACTGTGTGCACAGTGCCTGGCTGTCCGGGCAGTCCCACATCTGTGTGCAGGTAAAACAGGTGAAATTGGGCAGTGAGACAGACCACCCAACCCAGGGCCCCAGCGCCGGGAAATAGAGCCTCAGGACACTCATTGAAAACACCTCTGGGGGTTGAGGCACAGGAAAAGACTCCCAGCCTCACAGGAGGGTTCATTGGAGAGACCCACAGGGTCCTAAAATGTGCACAAGCCCACCCACACAGGAATCAGCACCAGAAGGGTCAAGTTAGCTTGGGGGAAGTGGCGAAAGGGACTGAAATCTGACAAAGAGAGGAGCAAGCGCCATTGTTCCCTCTCGGGCCCCACCCCCACATACACTGTCACAACCCAGCCACTGGGGTGCCCCGCTCTGGTGAACACCTAAGGCCCTGCCCCTCACTAAGTAACAGGCTAGACAAAACAAAACAAAAAAAGGCCCGAATGGAAGAACAAATCAAAGCTCCACAGCAAATACAACTAAGCAACTGAGAGATCGCCAACCTATCAGATGCACAGTTCAAAGCACTGGTGATCAGGATGCTCACAGAACTGGTTGATTTGGGTTGCAAATTAGATGAGAAAATGAAGACTACAATAAATGAAATGAACAAAAATGCACAGTGAACCAATAGTGAGGGAATGAAAGCTGGGTCTCACATCAATGGAGTGGACCAGAAGGAAGAAAAAAATATGCAATCAGAAAAGAATGAAGAAATAAGAATTCAAAAAAAAATGAGAGGCTTAGGAACCTCCAAGACATCTTTAAATGTTCCAACATCTGAATTATATAGGTACCAGAAGGAGAAGAGGAAGAGCAACAAGTGGAAAACTTATTTGAGCAAATAATAAAGGAGAACTTCCCCATTCTGGCAAAGGAAATAGACTTCCAGGAAGTCCAGAGAGCTCACAGAGTCCCAAAGAAGTTGGACCCAAGGAGAAACACACCAAAGCACATCATAATTACATTAGCCAAGGTAAAAATGAAGGAGAGAATCCTAGAAGCAGCAAGAGATAAGCAGACTGTAACCTACAAAGGAGTTCCAATCAGACTGTCAGCTGATTTCTCAAAAGAGACCTTCCGGGCAAGAAGGGGCTGGAAGAAGTATTCCAAGTCATGAAAGGCAAGGACCTACATCCAAGATTGCTCTGTCCAGCAAAGCTTTCATTTAGAATGGAAGGACAGATAAAGTGCTTCTCAGACAAGGTCAAGTTAAAGGAGTTCATCATCACCAAGCCCTTGTTTTATGAAATGTTAAAGGGACTTATCTAAGAAAAAAGAAGGTAAAAAAGCATGTATAGTAAAATGACAGCAAACTCACAATTATTAAAACCACACCTAAAACAAAAAACAAAAACAAAGCAATCAACTAGAACAACAGGAACAAAATCACAGAAATGGAGATCACGTGGAGGGTTATCAGTGGGGGAAAAGAAGAGGGGAGGATAGGGGAAAACGGTACAGGGCATAAGAAGAATAAATGTAGGTACACAATAGACAGGGGGAGGTTAAGAACAGTATAGGAAATGGAGAAGCCAAAGAACTTACATGTATGACCCATGGACATGAACTAAGGGGAGGGGGTTGCTGGAGGCAAAGGGAGTGTGGGGAAGGAGAGCAAAGGAGGAAAAAATGGGGACAATTGTAATATTATAATCAATAAAATATATTTAAAAATAAAATTTTAAAAAATGCAGCTAAAAAATAAAAGGCATAAAGTCTTAAATTCCTTATTAAGCTCTAAAAGATTATGGAAGGTTGATCTTTTCCCCGATACCAAGTTCAATCACACCCTAGGACAGTGAGGCATATGGACTCTATTTAACAAAGAGTCAGAGGCTTTGTCTCACTTAAATTAATACTTTGATAACTCATATTTTAATGCTTATTTTATCACTCACTGCTTGTCCCTCTGCCTCCCTAATTGTATTTCATTTTAGGACAGGCATTTTTATCTGTCTTGTCTTTAGTCTATTCTCACCACAAAATAACACAGTGATGGACAATTGCAGCTTTAAAAAATACTGATCAGAGAACTGACACCCGTTAGTCAAGTGAGTGAATGTCCGCACACCCAAGAAGAGCAGCAGAGCCTGGGATGTCAGTTTCTTCATGCCGAGCCTCAGGGATAAAATCTATTGACTCTTCCAGAGGAGGGCACCGTTTGGGGCTGTTGACCAGACCCTCCCCCTCCCGTGGCCTCACCTCTTCTGAAGTTCTGTCCAGGTTTCATATGGGGTGCTAACAATCTTATAATCCAGGGAGGATCCTTGGCACCCTGTAGTCTCCTCCCAGACACTTGCTTCTGCCCCAGCATTCACACTCCCACCCATGTGCTGCTTCCATTGAATACCATAACTGAAGAGGGCTGACACTTCCACAGCAGCATCTGGAAACAGACAAGGAGGCCTGAGGGTTAGCCAGCAGTACACTCTGGAACAGCTGGGAAACGGAATGGAAATGGAATGACTGAGTCCTAGCCTACCCCAACTCGCCTACCCAATTAAATCTCTCAACTGAGAAGCTAACTCATCAATAAAGAATATGTTGAGTTTAAATTACTCCTGAGGACAAACGTTTGCATGCACTCAGGGGCTGGATAACAGGAATGATGTCCTAACCCGAAGGAATGATGGCATCCCTTGCACCCGGGGCCAGGAGACCCACGGCATCATCTTTCCCAGCACAGCATCAGCCCCAGGAGGCAGCTCACAAAACAGAACATGTTTGGGATTTGGATCTACACAGGCTTGGGTTCGAGTCCCAGTTCTACCAGTTACAAGCTCTATAACCTGGAACAGATTATTCTGTAAGCTTTCATTTACTGCTGTGTAAAATGGGGATCATGTTCCAGACTCAAGAGTCTGCTCTCAGTAGTAAATGAATCTGGGTCATAATTAGAAAGTTCTGAGATACTCTTAGTTCCTTACTCCTTGCTCATAGGTGAGGCGGATCCGGTGTGGATGTCTCAGTACACCTTGCGTGCTGCACCCTTTTTTCTGTACCCTTGTTTCACAGTCCTCCCCTCCTAGGCCCCTGGCTGACAATACCTGGGACCACGCTATTTGGTTCGAGGATGTCCATGAGGGAGATGTCAACTGGAACCTCAGGGAGATGCCAAAACATTGAGCGAGCCTTCTTCCTCCGTATTAGAGAAAACCGACATATTTTGATGGCATTCAGGACGTCTTTGACGGGCCTGAGTTCTTTGTCTCCAATCTCTTTGACCAGTTTCCTGGCAGTTTTCTCAAACATGGAGGGCATGTTGCTAGGAGCAGCATGGGATAGAAGGAAGGTAGAAAGATCAGGTGGGTCTCACAGATGAATTAAATGAGTCTCCAGGTGTCATGTAGAGGGAGTTGACAGTGACTTGACTATTTCATAGACCTTTGTCACATCTACACAGTCACGTAGCATGCGTGTGCAAGGGGGCCCCCCATGCAGCCCGAACAGGCCCTGGGTCTTCCCTGGTCAAGTCTCCAGCAGGACGATCTTCAGTGACCAGAGATGAGACACCGAGCCAGGAGTCCCTGCCAGGTCAGGGACCAACGAGCCCTTGCTTAGTGTACTGTAAGTGACAAAGGGGAGATAAATTTCCCTCCAAAATTAAATGCACCCACTTTGCTAGGCCACTACAGTCCAGAACAAGCCAGCCAAATTGTGTGAATATTAGTCACCCCACCAAGGATTGAATTTTATGTTTGTGTGAATTTCCTATTTTCAGTCCTGCACAGCCCATGCTTTTTAAGATTTGATATAATCTTATTGTGACTGAAATAGAGCAAGAGTAGCCTTCACAAAGATGGGCATAAGATGGTTAAATAAATAGCCCATGATGCCTGGTATGGCTCAGTGGACCGAGCACTGGCCTATTAACCAAAGGGTCCTTGGTTCGATTCCCCGTCAGGGCATATGCATGGATTGTGGGCCAGGTCCCCAGTTGTGGGCACATGAGAGGCAACTACACATTGATGTTTCTATTTCTCTTTCTCCCTCCCTTCCCCTCTGTCTAAAAATAAATAAATAAAATCTTCAAAATAAGTAAACAAATAGCCAGAAGCCTGCATTGCTGTGCCAAGTGGACCGTGACTCAGCAAACATTATGAACTGCCTCATTTCTCCTAAGCATCAGGAGCCTGGTGGAGATAGTCATCCCAACCCGGATGGCACTCCCATTCCACTTTTAAACACTTTCAGTGTCAGGCAGATGGCAGAACTGGACTTTTCAGCCCTCTGTCCTCCACAGAAACACCGGTTTTGACAACCACCCATGGCCAAGGGCACCTCTGCAGGAGCCCGGAGTCCAGCGGGAGGTCCCGGCACCCCCTCGGAGCACATCCCAGAGGGACGCACTGAAGAGGGGAAGCAGAGCTGTGTCCTTTCCTCATCACCCCTCCTCCGAGGCAGCACAGTGCAGGCCAAGGCTAACCCCTTGGCCCATGACGTCTCCACGGGGGAAAGTGAGAGCCCAGTGAGCACCCGGCTCCCCCAGCTGTGCAGGAAACATCAAAGAGGCCTGCACCTCCTCCGTCCCTCCCAAACACGGAGGCAGGTTGGCATGGCTGAAGATGCTGAGGACGGGTAGGCAGATATCCATCGATAGATGTGCAGAGAAGGAAGATGTGGTATGTGTGTATACAATAGACCATTACTCAGCCACAAAAGAATAAAATCTTGCCATTTGCAACACTGATGGACCTAGAAGGTATTATGCTCAGGGAAATAAGGCAGACACAGAGAAAGACAAATACCATATGCTTTCACTTACATGTGCAGTTTAACAAAAGAGAATAAATACAACAAAACAGAAACAAACACACAGGTATGGAGAATGAGCTGACAGTTGCCAACCGGGAGGGGATGAGGGTGGGTGAAAACAGTCACAGATACATCCCTTAGTCTTGCATGTTGTTACCCAGAATTCTTCTTTACTAGGGAGAACTTCAGGAAGAGTGCCTACTTTGGGGACGGGAGGTGTCCAAGTGAAACAAAGCCCAGACTCCTCTATCACGTCACAAACCTACCCTGAACACGTCTGTCTCTGACCTCAGTATCTTCCCTTCTTCCTCACCCCCCTGGTTCCCAGTCAGGACTTACCAGGTTGTGAATTGCTCTGTCTTGCAGGGAAAGGTTCCAATGAGTAGAGCTCCTCCCAATCTGCAGACCACCTCATTCAGACAAAATCCAGAAAACAGAGAAATGCTGCTCTCCTTGGCACGTCTTCTTTCCACCAGCAGGTCCCTGACTTAATTTCCAGTACAGTGTCCTGGGAAGTACGCACGTGAGGATCTCCCACAGAAGACCAGGTGTGGAGCTGAGCTCTGGATCATGCAACCTTACCTCTCAAGTCCTCAGCCAAAGTGTCTGCACTGGAATCAGGCGGCGCTTCTATCTGCGAGGAGGTCCCACAGCAGAGTGAGAGAGGTCTCAGGAAGCAAAGCGTGTCTGTTCCCGATAGGTAGGCTTGTTCAGCCCAACTGGCTGAACGAGTCTGATGTTGGATTCATTCACAAATGATTCACAAAGAAGTTGGAACAAATTCTTTGGCTTCTTTCCAAACTGACTCCCTGACACCTGTGGTTTATAACCAGGGAGGCTACGCACCCCCTGGTCAGGGAGAAGAGGTTGAAACCGTTTGCTCTCAAGTGTTCTCGGTCAGAGGAGGTAAGGTCTTGCGCTTCACCAGCTGGCTGTACACTGCTCAAACTGTTTCAGCTTGTTTAATTTTCTTGTCTCAGTTTCCCCTTTTCACTTGCCCAAGAATTTCTCTAGCTTCTTACTGTCCCGTCTCCATATGCATCTTACATGCTCTGCATGTAAAATGTAACCACGGATCAGCAAGAAAGATGGAAATAAGCTTCAGGACAAAGGACAGGTACACGCAGGACCCTGGGGAGACCCTCTGTACAATGGGAATTAATGTTCTTCACGCTTCCTGTGGGCCAAGTACCGTGCAGTCCCATCTGATAACAATCTTTAATGATAAAGAAAAGGGATATATTTTTAAAAGGCCAGGACAACTTGCCCCCAAACCCATTCTCTTTCCAAACACTTCTGAAATCTCTCCAGTAGCCTTATGAAATTAAGGGAAACGCCCACTAGAGAGAAAATTGCAGGAGCAGAAGGGGGAGACTCAGCTGCAAGTCTTTTGTGATTTCCCAGAACTGATGCTCAGAATAGCAGCTGACAGTATTGCACAATGCATTTCTCTCTTTTTTTTTTCCTTTCAGTGTTCATGAAAGTCGCCACACCTGCCCTTCTCCCCCCAGGGGGACCCTGAGATCACCACTCCATTTGGGACTGAGCTCACAGCCGTGCTTTCTATGTACCACCAGATAAGTGGTTTCCCCAAACTGAATTTACTTTCTGTGCTTTGCATTGTAAAAACAGTCCATTTGAAATATAAAATTGTGTGTATGCATATACCACTCTGCCACAGGCCAGCATTCCGAGAGCCCTGCCCTGTTCCTGGACATTCTAGAAGCCAAGGAAAAGTAACTCAGCTGTCTAGGCTGAGGTATGTGGGCCCAGGGAAGCCTGAGGGTCTTATTGATTAGGATGAGTTTAGAACAAAGATCATCATAAACAGCTGATAGCTTTACTTTCCCATCTCCTTGTTCTCCACCCCAAAGTACCCTACAACATCCAGGGGACGGATATAAATGGGGAAATGAATCTGGAAAAGCCAATGTGTAGCAGCCTGTGCTGAGAACAGCCTCTTGATAGGGAAGAGCGATCTTGGAAAAGCATGAGGAGAAACTCCATAGTCCTTCCTGAAATGCGCAAACAGCACCCATGCCTTCCCTCCTAGGACCTCGCAGAGGGGTCTTCTAGTTTTGCACGTCACAGGGAAGCTCTCTATCCCTTGCACTAGAGGCCAAGAGTAGGTGATGTTGATTTAAGATTTCAAGGGAGGCTGAGGTGGGGGTGGCCATTGCCTAGCACACGTTTTCTTGAAAATTCCCCACTAGTTATCTTTTTAGGGTAGGTCTGTTTTCACGGAGGCCCCTTCTCTCAGGCCCCTCCCTGCCCCTCCTTGCCTCACTCCTGCTTCTCTGTCTCCCCTTCCTCCTGACACACACACACAGCAACGTCCTGATTCATTCTGAGTCAGAGACTTAGGAAGTCATGACACAGTGCTCTTTCGTAGCTGTTGGCCCTGCAGGCAGCACAGACCAGGATCTGATCCAACACCTTGCCCCATGCACCCTCAACTCCTGCTTCCTAATTGCTCTTCCTGGAATCTTCCCCCCAAAATAACTAGAGTTTGCTCCCCCCTTGTTTCAGTTTAATTCTTAATTCAAAAGTCACTTCTCAGTGAGGCCTTCATTGTCAAATTGCAACCAATCTCCAGAACTTGCTCATCTCGCAAAACTGAAACTCTCTGCCCACTGAACAACCCCTCATTCTCCCTCCACCTCCCCACCCCTGGCAACCACCATTCTACTTTCTGTTTCTAGGAGTTTGAGTCCTCAAGATGCCTCATACATGGTTTTCCTTTCTGTGACACACGTGTTCACCTCACATCGTGCCCTCAAGGTTTACCCACGTTGTAGCATGTGTCAGAATTCCCTCTTTTTAAGGCTGAATAAAATTCCGTTGTATGGATGGACCACATTTTGTGTATCCATTCTTTTGGTAATGAACATTTGGGTTGCCTCCATCTTTTGGTTCTTGTGCACAATGCTGCTATGAACGTGGGTGTATGGATATCTCTTTAAGACCCTGCTATCAGTTTACATAGACATCCATAGGTGGAATTGCTGGATCTTATGGTAACGCTATGTTTGTGTTTAAGGAATCGTCATCCTGTTTTCCATAGCTGCTGCATCATTTTATGTTTCCACCACCACCACCGAGTGCAAAGAGTTCCAATTTCTCCACATCTTCACCAACACCTGTTATTTTCTGGATTTTTTTTTTTTTTTGCTGTAGCAACCATCTGAATCTATGATAGTATCTTATTATGGTTTGGGTTTACATTTCCCTAATGGATGTGGAGATATTTTTCATATTTGTTGTCCATTTGAATATCTTTTTGGGGGAAATGTCGACTCAAGTTCTTTGCCCATTTTTAATGGAATTATTTATTTATTATTGAACTTTAAGTGTTTTTTTTGTTTTGTGTATGTTTCATTGATTGAAGTATTTTAAAGTACAGATATCATGACATTTTACCCCCAAATACTCCAGCAGACATCCCTTTAAAAACATTTCCTCATAATCACTATATGTATTATTCTATTTACCAAAATTGAGAATCTAATTCCCAGTCGAAATCATTTCACCCCTTAACTTTCAACATGCCCTAACCTTCCTTCCTGCCCCCCATTGGTGATGGCTTTGAGGCCCCCCGAGCCTTCCGAGCAGCCTCGGTTTGGGGCTGGGGAGACACACAGGCTTTCCATTTACTCCTCAGATGGGGCCGGGGCTCAGTGGGGCCCAAAATCGAGGTGAGTATCTGCTGAGATCTGGAACTCACCTTCTGGGAAGGTTCTCTCTTCCTCTCCTCTGCGACGTGAAGAATGTCCGGGTGGGAAGAAGCCCAGCCAGGTCAGCAGAGCCGGGGTTACCCCTGCTGGAGCCTCTCACATCCCCGCCCCTGCGGCACCGCCTTCCCCCTTCCTGCTCCAGGCCAGGGGTGGCAGCGTTTCTCACGGGGGCCTGGGGACCCCTTGCACCGGGATCAGCTGGGATGTCTGTGGAACCCCAGGACCCCTGCCCTCGCTCCGTCTTGTCTGAGTCAGATTCCCTGAAGGGGAACCTAGAAACTGTACCTTACTATTTTACAGAGAAAATAGGGAAATAGTTTCCCTATAGAGAAATATTTTATCTCAGTTTTACAGAGAAAATGACACCTAACATATAAATTTAAGGTGTACAGTGTGAGGATCTGATACACGTATATATTACAAAACGATTACCACAGGTTAGTTAGCACCCCCATCACCTCACATAATTACCATTTATTCTGTGGGGATAACGCTGGAGATCTACACCTGTAACACCTTCAAGTCCACAACACAGCATGGTTAATACTGTCGCCTAGATGGCATCCGATGCCCCAGCATTGACAACTGGAGCTCTGGACCCTTTTGGCCAACATCTCCCCATTTCCCGCACTCCCCGGCTCCTGGCAGCCACCATTCTACTCTGTTCCACGAGTTTGGCATTTTATCTTCTGCACAAGCTTATACGGTATCTATCTGTCGTTGACTTGGTTCACTCAGCACCATGCCCTTGAGTCCCACGCATGCTGTGAACAAGGCGTGGGAGCTGCTGACAGCGCCTGGGGAGGCCACGGCACTCCTGGGCTATAACACTGGAGAACGGCTTCACCAGGGACGGAAACCGGCTTCCGTCCTGCTGCCCTCCTGCTCGCTCTCCCGCAGGGCCCCTTACGAGCCCACTCCCCCATCCTGCCCGCTGCCTGGCCGATTTCACGTGCACGTAGAGACACATTTGAAGTTTGGAAACGTGCCTAACAATCAGATTTAAGGGTTTGACAGGGGACAGGGACAGGAAAGGAGGAGGCATGGACATAGTCCTATAAAAGGAGACCCCGTAGGTCATGGTGTCGCAGCATCCGGGGAGAGAGGAGCTCCAAGGAGGTACTGGAAAGGTCTTGGTGTTCCATGTCAATATATTGGAGAACGTAGGTCAACACTCACTCTTGCTAGGTGGCCGTCTCTGCCGGAACACCCCATTGTACACCCAGAAACCGCTGCTCTCCTCCACAAAGGCCCCATCTGGCACCACCTCTAGTCCTGGGACACATCTACGTGGGTCCTGGGCAGGTACTCACGAAACATTAATGACATAAAGATGCACGCGAGAACACACTCCTGCACCCATGTATCACCACACTGGAGCTCGACTTTTAAAAGAACAGTGTGGCCAGTTTTAGTTGCAAGTATGCAGGGAATTGCCTGCCAATTTAGAAAATGGGGACTACCACAGAGAAAGTTACAGCAAGTTTCACTTCTCAGTTGTAGGGCCTCTAGCGGGGGAGTTAAAGCTGTGCAGCTTTGCCCCATGGCCTCCCGGATTGGGGACAGTAGTTACAGCTGTCACTGGGGACGGCACTGGGGTAAACAGAAAATGACACATGTGTACTGACGGCACCTGCCATAGGCTACATGACTGTTTATTAATAGAGTCAGATGTCGGGATGGACGCGGGCACTTGTGATACTCACGGGACATTACTGCCACCACGGAGAGGTAGGCAATTTTTGAGTGAGGACACACGAGAGTCATCCACAGTCCCACTGAGCTAACCCCAAGTTCACTGGCTCTGAAGTCTGTGTCTGAACTGTTCACACTGCTGCTGCTTCCCACTTGCAGACAGCATACAGGGTGGGCAAAGTCGGTTTGCAGTTGTGAGCAAGCGAAACACAGTTTATGCTTGTATTATTAATCATTGCATTCTTTCCCATACAAACAACTGTAAACCTACTTTTGCCCCACCCTGTATATAAGACATGTATTTACAACACGAAATCAAAGTCAGCCATCTGTCTCAA